AGATAGAGGAGAGCGGTAAAAAATATAAATAAAATTTTGTTTTTTAATTTATCAAATAGTTTTACCAAAAACATCCAGACGGAGGAAAAAATATAAATAAAATGTTATTGGCGAATGTAAACAGTGTACAGTAATTGGATGGTTAAATGCTTTAAACTTATATAATTAGGAATAATGTCCTATTTTTGGAGATTTCAAGGCAACGGCGGGCATAATAAAAATAGAAAAACTTCTATATTTTTGAGGCGTGCTAAATGGCCAAAAATTAAATTAATTTTTTATTCGAAATCATTATTGGCGGGTGGTCAGGTTCGCCAAACAAGGTATAAAAAATGTCTCACCGTATATAACACAAATGCAATTATTTAGTAAAAAATCTGTTGTTTCCTAAGCCTGAGCGAATTAAAGTCCTCACTTAAACATTGAGCTGCTAGCCATATGATATTTATGCCTCCATCAGCCCCCCTCCCACTATTCCTATTTATGCTATTGTCTATGTCAATAATACAGTACTGTACATTTATTATAAAATTTTAAAAATATCGGAAAACAAGTTATATTCTTATTTAATGTTTTTCGATACTGAATTTGTAGCTCTTTCTGCTGCTTGGCAATAATTATTTTTGTAACTTCAATAAGGCGAGATACACATGTGTAATAAATGTTGATATGCATCTTACCTGTACAATGTTTTGTACTCCTTGGGAAAATCTTTCCATGCCTGTCCCAACAACCTTGTAATTTCTCTTCCTTGAATCTTTGGCCAAGAACTGCCAAAAATATAATTTAAAGGATTTATCACTCTTAGTCTTTGACAGTTCATGCATCCCAGGGGCCCCAAGTTAAAAGAATCCACATCCAGGTCAGTTCATGAGCTTTCTTAAAACATCTGGTTATATTTTTCTGTGCATTGTCATACCGATTGGCACTGACTTTCGGAAAGAAAATTTTAAATGCAGTTTTGTGAATTTACAGGAGATGGGTCATTTCCTGGAGGTTCTTGCTTGCTCATGGAAATGCGGGAGACCTTCCTGATATTTGGGAGACTCCTGTGAGTTGCAAAAATCTTGGGACACCTGTGCATGCATACATATCTAATCGAACAAGTTATGTCTGATAGAAGATGGGAAATGCTCTACTTCATCAAATGTAATCTAATCATTTGTCAATTGTCTTATCAGTAATTTTCGAGTATTAAGTTATGAAACTACCCTACCTTCGAAATTTATGGTGGTTTATTTTTGTGAAGAGTTGATATCCATTAATCCATGACCGCTTCATTGGTGATTTGTAAGGGGAACTTGTAAAAGAGGATTTGCCGGCTCTGTCATGATCTAGTCTTGCTGAAGAAAATGTCACATCCTGTGGGCCATTAATAATGTTGAGAACTTGCTGAATGTTGGTTGGAATCATCACGTTCACTCCATATGGAGGAGTTGACTGAGCAGTGTCTTGAAACTGCAACGACCAGAGATCTGGCTCTGTCTCATTGATGTCTTCCATAAAAGGAAAGAATTCTTCATCACTCTCTGCACTTTGATCAAATGTATTTGACGGATTGATGGACATTCCAATGATGTCATCTGGACTGACTGCTTCTAAAGATTTAGAGTCATCTTCATTGGTAATTCTTTGCACATCTGAGATTGGAGAGAAATCTTCTACATCATCGTATGGTGAAAAGGATGTCTCTTTTAACTCATTTGTGGTAGTTTCCATTGCTGCCACAGCTGTTAAAATATCAGCCTTGGTTAAGATGTCACTACTATCAAAAGTGGAGGAATCTTCTGACAGAATTCTGTTCTCAGGCAGGTTGTAGCCTGGCATCAGTATGTCATCTGACATCAGTGACAACCTATCCTCTTGAGAAATGGTCACTAGAGAATCCTCTGAAGTTTGAGTATTTCCACACAGGATGTCAGATGGTGAGGAAGTGGTGGTTGTCAGAGAGTATACACTTGATGTTGGACTTGCAGAACTGAAATCGGAAACAGGAACATCATTCTGTGTAGCATCGCATTGTGCCAAGACTTTGATATTTGAAGCTCCACCACTTAAGACTTGCTTGTTCACAGTCTGCAACTGAGCTTTAGGATGTGCTATCTGCCTTCCACCAATGGAACTTGCTATGTATGGATTTGGGAATACACTGACAACAAATGGTGTGGATGTATTTGACATCATTGCATTACTAACCATCACTGGTATGGGTTGATTATCAAGAGGATGTAAACTTGTGGAGATATTCGAAGGCATGACTGGTGTGTAGGTAAAGCCTGAAATGTTAAATAAATGTACGAAATTATTTCAGGAAAACAAAATTTATCTGTTTATTTTTTGTTTACTTACTACTATACTTAGGTTTCTTCATCATATTTGTTGATAATTATGGCAAATTTGCGATGGTTATCTTCTGGAAAATTATCGCAGATAACTGAAATTCTCCACATTGGAAATTTCATGCTGATTTATGTTTTCTTTTTTAAAGAAGTCTGATTTACATTCATTTTTTTTTTTTTTGGGTCACGAACCACTGGAATAAGTAATAAAGTTATGAAACTTTAGGCAGATTAACCATATGCAGAGGGTACTTTATTCTTTATTTGTACATGGGCTATACTGTATTGCACTTGTTTGATTTTTTCAAAAATTACAGAACTAAGCCGAGCACTCATTGAGTCGTATGAATCCGATTCTGTTCCATGTGAGTGCAGACAAGACGACGCTGTCTGCTATTTGTTGGTGACAGTCTGAATGGATTGTCAATAAAAACAATCTGTTGAGCATGTGTTTTGGAATCGGCCAACGACCGTTGGGAGAAGTGAGTGGCCAGCTTAAGATGTGAGGAATATATATATTAGGAGAAATTTTCACTACGTAACCTCCTTTAAACTCACACATACCAGGCTCTACACATTAACAATTTAACATTAATTTTATGAATATTTCCGAGAATGGAAATTGACAGGCATAGGCCAACGTACCTGTCGGCGTTGCTACAGCAGCCTTATGCCCATACACATAAGGTGTAGAGGGTGCCATTCTACAAGTTCTAGATTTGGGTTTGTAGATGGGGATAGTTGGTGGCAGTTCACGGCCTAACAATCCTTCCACATCTTCATTACTCAAGGGTGAAAAAGCTGGAATTGAGTACTTCTTTCCACCTTAAACATATAAATGAATAGATTAGTAATACTACAGTACAATGCGATACAACTAGTAACACCGCCAAGAAGAAAGAATTTCCACAGCTTTTAAGTCTACTTCCTACTCCTAATTAATTTATAGAAAAGATGATGTTACCTTTAACAGAATGGAATGGTTTGTCAAACACTGCATATCCTTCAACAAAGTCACACTGCATATCCAATTCATTGCTTAATTCAGAGATCTTGCTTTTCAGGAAATTCATATAGGCACTTGCTCGATGGAGAATATTGTACTACAGCAAAATATTTTAAAAATCAGAGTGAAAGTGGTAAAGTTACTGAAATTTAAATACAGATAAAAAAGATGTGCACATATTCAGACCCGTAACGAATGGAGAATTGGAATATTCCTTGTGGATCAAGGAGTGGAGCTTCTATGGAATTTGTTAAATTTAATAACACATAACCTCCCTGAAAATGTTGGAAATTTTCTGGCATCTATAAACAATTTTTTCCAGGAACCCTTAACAGGACCACCTCGCCCCCCCCCCCCGTCCTTACACATCCTATACGAATAGGGTCTGTGTTACCATGCGTACAGCACTGTACCACTGAGTTACTATGCTTTTACCACTGAACGGTCTTTACCTTGGTTTCATTCTTTGGTGGACCGCCTTGTGGGTACGGTATAATCTTAACCATTTCTTGTATGGCAAGGTTTAAATTATGGTGTCTGAATCTACAAGACAGAAGGAGACATTAGTTTTTACCATAGAGATATAATAAGAATACTAGAGCGCTAACTGCAATGTATTCGATGTTCGAATTACGCAGAGCTGTGTGTGTGTACCATCCAAGATGGCTGCCATAGATTCAGCCAATCAAATTTCGCTTAAGCACTATCATTTTCAATTCAAACATTTAAATGTTTGAATAAGATGCTCTACTTGACCTCTTTTTGGCTAGTTCAATAATTTTTATTACCAATACTAATTATATTAATGAAATAATAGTCAGTCAGAGGGCTTATTTATGGTAATAAGCCTGAAGGTGGCACTTTCTTACGGCGGCCATCTTGGATGGTACACATACATAACTTTGCATTGCTTCGCCATCTTGTCAGCATTATAGTTGTTTAATAGCTCTATGGTTTTTACACATAATATCAAATTATACAGGAATAAAAATGTTTCTTTACAATATTTGGAACTCAGAAAATGTACAGTATGGAATGCCATGCAAATAAGTAATATGGAATGCCATTGATGCCAAAATCAATTTATTTTTAATAGTTTTCACTGATTAAGACAATTTTTTGGGACTGGAACCCAGTCTATGGTTGCCCCTACCCAGTATTAGTGACAATCTGATACTGTAGTTTGGAAGCACTTATTACTAAGTGTAATTAACACCAGGGTAGTTGGTAAGTACTGTACATGGTCCTATGATAGGGTGATGCATTATTTAAAACTGGTATATTTTATTCTGCTACAGTATTTATTATTCCATTATTCCAAGACTTACATCATACAGACCAAGGTCAATAATCATACCTTTCATTCATTCTGTGCTGTTCTTTCTTATCTTCTTCTCCTATGTGTTTTCTGCAGGGCCTCGGTGATGGTTCACTGTACTTCATAGGATCTCTTGGATCTACAATTACCCTGTATGGCCTAATTTTACCATCATCTTCATGCATCTTTCCTGTAAAATTCACTGTCAATTTTTTAGTTAATTAATTTAACCAAAGGATAAGACAAAGAGACAAAAGACAAAATAGCAACAAATTCAAAATCACTATCTCACACTAAAAGCAAAGTAAGACAAACGTGAAACTATTCTTCATAAGGAAATCTTTCAGTCATCTGCTCACAAAATCGACTATACAATTTGAATGGTTTCTTTTGACAATTTGGATTGATTGAATTAAAAAACCAGATATTTTAAGCTTTAGGCGAGAATTTTTTTATATCTTGTTTAGCAAACCCGCTGCACGCAAGTATTGATTATTTTGAATAAAAATAAAATTTTATTTTTGGCCAATTAGCACACGTGGGACCACAAAAAATTGAAATTTCAGAAAAAAAATAAAGGTTCTCTTTATTTTTATTACACCCTCCGCTGCCTTGAAATCTTCAGAAGATAGGATATGTATATTTCTTCCTAATTATATAAATTTGAAGCATTTAACCATCTCATTACTACACTGTTTACACTCACCAATAAAAATTTATTTTTATTTTCTCCTCCATCTCGGTGTTTTTGGCAAAACTATTTGCTAAATAAGAAAACAAAATTTTATTTTTATTTTTTTTCCGCCCTCCTCTGATAATCTTTAAAAAAATAAGTTTGCGAAACAAGGAATAAAAAAAGTCTCGCCTTATAATCATCTATATATTTTTACAATCAATGCAAAATTGAGTTATCATTTTTTTTTTTCAAATTTTCATATACTTTATGATTTTGTATATGAAGAAAAGCTAAAACCACAGTTTGCCAAACTTTGGGGGTGAACGGTCAAGTGTAGCTAATAAATTAGGCTTTCTTGTCATATGCCTCATACTGATTGGTTAAGAAACCAATGATAATTTTTTTCTTCAAATTTCTATTCATAATTGTTTGTACCCTGTTTTGGCAGTTGGTTGGCTTTAAGTGAATAGCAGATAGAAAATCATTGTGGTCTGTGGGGAGTGCATTCATGCATACAATGTACTGGAGGTAAACTTTACCTAAATGAGCTTATGATGTGGAAAATAGTTGTAAAGTTTAAATTATGATGCAAATTAAACTGCGATTTAAATTAATCATTTCTAACACTGTGTGGTGTTCCATAACTACCTATCTACCAGCAGCATGTGCATAGCAATGTTAATTTTTACAGATATTGTTCTGACAAATATACACAAATCCTAGATGTTGAGGTAGAGCTGGTATCCAAAAGCTTACAACTTCTTTATTTTGTATTCTTTAGCCTAGGCCTACCTAGGCCTAGGGCTATTTCATTTTTTTCTACTGAATAACATTAATAGTCAGTTTTAAAACTTCCGACTGTGATATGCTAAAAACACTTTTAAAATCAAACTAAATTCTTACTAGCCTATTTAGGCCTAGTAGCTAGACTAGCCCAGGCTAGAGTAGAGTATGCCTATCATAGGCATAGGCCTAGTAGTACTAAACATACAAACATAGGCCTATACCTACATAAGCCTAATCCCTGCTGGCCTATAAAATAAGGTCCTCCTTGTATCGCCTAGGCTAGGTAGCTACCTAGCCTAGGCTAGGCCTAGGCTAGGCCTAGGCTACAACCTCATTAGAGGTTTTCTTAATCAGATTTGATTTTATCTTCCGTGTAGAAAAACTGTATAAATAAATATTCATATTTGTAACAACGACTTCGTTAGACTTACTGATTTGGTGAATTTTGAGACAATTTCTTTTTCAAACTTCGATCATTAGCTTCTCTTCTTTTTTTTTCTTACAAAAAGCAAAGGGCTTATTCGACTGGTTTAGTTCGTTGAGTACGAATTTTCGTTGAGTATTATTTTCATTCGACTGGTACGTTTGTAAACTAAAAGAGACTTCGTTGGCAACGAAAATAACCGTAACCAGAAACGACATTTGCGTTAATATAATTTAGATTAAATTTCAGAAAATAAAAAATTATAATATTTATTTACCCACATTGAAGTAAAAAAATAACAGAATTTAAAAACTGGATGAAAAATTTTTTTTACGAAAAACCCATACTGCCACAATCCGAAGCAGCCTTCTCCATCAATGTAGGTACTTTTTAAATATTATAATTTTTATTTTATGAAATTTAATCTAAGTTATACCATGGTTATACTAACGCAAATGTTGTTTATAAACTCACCAATCGGCCATGTTTATTTTTTGGTCACGTGGATAACTTAACACTGATTAACGTACTCTGGTTTAAGTCTATTTAACGAATCAGTCGAATGAAAATATAATTAATAATACTGTACTCAACGAAAATTCATACTCAACGAAATGAATCAGTCGAATAAGCCCAATTAGGTAAATATTTATAATCTTTGCAAAAAGTTTCCAGGTTCCTTTACTCTAGAGGGCGCTAATTTGGAGAAGTTTTGGCCAAAAAATACTTTAGTTTAAAATAAATAAATAATCATTATGTTTTAATGGCAAGGTAAATTTGAATATTTTCGTTTTTTAAACAATTTTAATAATAAAAATACAAACGTATTGCTTTTACAATAATTATAGTTTCTCACCCTGTCTGGCGTAACCTCTGACCTTATACTAAACTAGGCTTCGGCCCCAAGCAAGGCATGGTTTGTTTATCACGAAATAAAAACAGTTGAAAGTAGTTTACTGAAAACGTAAGATGTTTGTAGATCAATTGAAATTTTTATTTTAAATATATATGTTTCATATTAAAACAATAACTTATAAAATAGTAGACCTTTAGGCATAGCTAGTCTACTATACTACGGTCCTAGTCAAAGCTATGCCTATCACCCGACCCTGGCCTGGCCTACCTTGGCGAGCCTAGGCGTAGATGATAGATAGTTTGGGCCTAGACAACTAGGCCTCTAGGCTAGCCCCTCTACTCTACTATATATAGCTAGTTAGGCCTATCTAGTCCTGACTGACTGACCGTCTGAGCCTCGGAGTTGGAGCCTAGCCTAAGCCTAGTAGTACAGGAGGACTATGCCTAGGCCTACTTATTTTTAGAAAAGGCCTCAAGTTGAGCATACTTATTAATTCAGTTATTAAATTCCACACGTTTTATATGCCTTATCTTATGTTTGTTGGTTACGCACCACCACTGACTTGGGTTGTTTGTCATCACTTCAAGATGTCTACCGATTCATGGAAAAGGGCGTATCTTAAATTCACGGTCTTCAGTGTGTTCAATCCGGGGTTTTGTGGTAAAAAAAGCAAATTATAATTATGATTGTAATTGTATACAGAAACTGAATTTCACATTTCACTACATAATTCCTTAAAATGATTCCCATACCAGCCAATTTGATGGTCTATTCAAAAGAATGTAGGAAAGGTATTATGTAACTCTCCGGTGAAATATTTTTTCTCATTAAAATTTATAATTGAAAGTTTTTTAAATTACCTGAATATACAAATCAGACAATTCAAATTCAGGTTTTTAGCGCAAGACTTCAGATCTTCTACAAGTGTATGTGTATCTTTTTCCAAGCAGATTGATCAAAATGCCTCACGATTTAGATGACATTGAGGACATTGTCTCAGTCGAAGATGTAACACCTAACGAGAGGTTTGCTAACAAACCAGATGTTGTACCAAAAGTACGCAAGAAAAACAATGCAGCTTTTAAACAAGAAGAGATAACAACAGACAGGTGTGTAAAATTAGAAACACGTGGCGTGCCTAAATATGGTCATAATGACATCATACTATGAACATATATAGGCACATCATGACTATATATAGGCACATCATGACTATATATGGGCATACATAAAATTTTATAGTCTGGACAGAGCTTTAAGTTTCTTGTAGTTAAACACAGATGATTATTAGTATAACAGAATGATTTTGAAATAATCTTTTCATATTTATTTTTATTTAGCATTGTTCCTGGTACCCAAAATATATATGTGAAGACCTGGGGTTGCTCTCACAACAATTCAGATGGCGAATATATGGCAGGCCAGCTAGCTGCCTATGGTTACACAATTACAGGTAAACATTGACCTGTCTTCTAATGTTCTGTTTTCTGTTTTGTGGCAAATAACTCTGGGAGATTCCGCACAGTTAAGTGTAAAATAAAGTGGTATAGATATTCCTTTGTTAGCAATGCTATACACATTAACAACTCAAACTTTCATATACAGTGCAATATAGTACTGGTCACGTATAAATTAATAGGTGCTATAGAATGATTTTCTATATTTTTTTTCATGTACTGATGTGCAATCACTCTTAAATGTATTTTATGTATTTACTGTTTTAGTAACTAGCAAGTTTGTTTTATTTTATTTAACAAGCATCAAGATTTTGCTAAATAAATATAAAAAAGCCAAGTATTAAAAAATATAGTAATTAAACTTACTTGTTAACTTGTTTCTCGTAGGTTGACCACCTATGGGACCGTGGCAAAGCACTCTGTGCTTAAAAGTCTCTTTTGTAGATGATGTTTCTGCTGGAGTACGCTGCAAGCTGCAAACTTCAAAGGATGGTTGCACCATGCTTCGTTGAGCATGTACATTCTATAGCAAGACTACCCTTCTAAAAAAACATGTTCCTCCTAACATTGATTTGAGAATATAACAGAATAAACTTCAAAATATAGGGATGACCCAAAGTTTGTGAATCTTGACCAAACCACTGGTAAAGTACTGCAATCAATAAGTACTCAATAATTGAAAGAATAATAATTTCAGATAAAGCTGGTGATGCAGACCTTTGGCTCTTAAACAGCTGCACTGTGAAGAACCCAGCAGAAGACCACTTCCGTAACGAGGTCAAGGCGGCCCAGAAGGCCGGCAAACACTTGGTTGTGTCCGGATGTGTGCCGCAAGCTCAGCCTCGCATGGACTACATCCATGGAGTCAGCATAGTAGGTGTTCAACAGATTGACCGTGTTGTGGAAGTTGTGGAAGAAACATTGAAAGGTAAGATGCCAAGTCACATGGTCCAGTGTAGACACTTTAAGCAACTATGCTGATTTTGTTTTTTATATTTTTCTGTTAGGAAAATTTATTAGGGTTTTTAGGGTTTAGCCTGTTACAAACTATAGGTTGCTTGGGAAAGAAACTCTTGGTATCATTTATCAACTACTGATTGAATATTAATAACTATCATAACATAACCTTAAGGAAGAAAGATTTATAACTTATTTTACAACATTGCAAAATTTGATTTTTATACTGCATAAATTAATATGATGTTCATAATTATACAGTTTTCATTCTCGGTTTTATTCATCACATTTTATTTCCATTCTTGGTTTCTTTACCACTTTTTAAAGGTCACACTGTTCGTTTACTTGGTCAAAAAAAAGCAGATGGTAAAAAAATTGGTGGAGCCTCTCTAAATTTACCAAAAATAAGGAAGAATCCACTTGTTGAAATCATAGCTATCAACACAGGGTGAGTAAAATAGGTCTACAAGAAGCTAATACATCTCCCACAAATTCATGATTTATTCATTTATATTTATTGAACATATTTACACAGATATCAGGTGGGTCTAACAACCTGTTTTACACATGGTCCTGTTTTGTTTCATTTATTTTAAGAAGGCCCTGATTATCAACCAACCTTCTAGGTTACGCTAGAAGGGTCACCCTCTATCTGGCCCATAGTGTGGGGGTGGGGGGTTGGTTAAGAGGGTTACGACGAAGTGCCTAAAAACTGGAGAAGGTCTGCATTTAAAAACGAAAAATTGATATTCGTAGATATATTTATAATGTTCTCCAGAGTATCGTAGATCATAAAAGCCATTTTAATTGAGGACATCATTTTTTGACAGTTAAAAAAGGCAAAATAATTGTAAATAAATAGGCTAGGCTCTAAGCTAATTAATTGAAAAAAATAATACAGCAGTACAAACAAGTTCCTGTCGTCGACAGCGAGTGTGAAACTGGAGACTCCCATCAAATCAAGTGTATGTTTTTCTTATTGAAAAAACAGCTCCGTAAGCTACAGCAGTCTTTCTGCACATACAAATAAACAACACACTTTTGCTTCGTAGATTCGCTTTGTAGGCTTGCTTAGATTGTTTATATCAGGCTACGATATATCTACGAAGCCTGAGCGCATGAAAAATTGCAATAGTTTGCGGCGGTACTGTAGGCCTTGTTCATTAGCCCACCGGGCAAAAAGGAAGGGAGGTTGACTAGCCCAGAGCAGTTTTTACTATACTAGCCATTGGACGCTGGGGTAGTAAAAAATCGAGCCCTGCTGTCTATTATAGTTTTTAAAAAAACAATAAAGAATACTCTTCAGGGAGTGGGGAAGGTTTGCACATAGTGTATTATTGATTCTGTATTGAATGCCGGGAAAGGGTGGGGCGGTGAATCTTGAGCAGTTCTTCTGAAATAGAATGAAATAACTAAGTAATTATTTATATAATCTGATTTGTTTGTAGGTGTTTGAATCAGTGTACATATTGTAAAACAAAATATGCCCGTGGGGAATTAGGTAGCTATCCTCCTCAAGAAATTGTTCAACGTGCAAAACAATCATTTGAAGGTAACAGACATTTAATTATTTGATTAGCTCATTAAATTGCTTCATGAATAATTTTCTAATTGTATGCATCTGTACCAGAATGAATAAACAAATTTTTAAAAATGTGATTGGCTATATATAACTTTTCAAATTTCTAAATGTTTATTAAAATACTTCAAATACAAGAGAGCTGAGCTGACCACATAAATATATTTTTAGTGTTTTTCTTCCATCAGAGGGTGTCTGTGAAATATGGCTAACAAGTGAAGATATAGGTGCATATGGAAAAGATATTGGTGTCACTATTACCGAGTTACTATGGCAACTAGTGGAAGTTATACCAGAAAACTGTATGATGAGGATAGGCATGACCAATCCACCATATATTCTGGAGCATTTGGAGGTGGGTATAGAGCAGTGGCTCCAGAAATTCCCTCCCACCTTTAAAAATATAATAGAATCGTTGAAATTAGTAAATTGATAACAAAAATATAAGTTCTTAAATTATGTATTAGTTTTCCCTACAAATCTTGGATTCACACATTTGGTGGGATTATACATTTATATGTTGAAGCTTGCAGTACACCACGTAGGCAGTTCTGAAAAGAACTGTTGTAGTTGAGAAAGTCTTGACGTTTTGATTGAGATGCTTCAATCGTCTTCAGGAGGATGCTTCAATCGTCTCCTGAAGACAATTGAAGCATCTCAATCGAAACGTCGAGACTTTCTCAACTGCAGATTCTCCTGAAGACAATTGAAGCATGTCAATCGAAATGTCGAGACTTTCTCAACTACAACAGTTCTTTTCAGAACTACCTACGTGGTGTACCGCAAGCATTACTTCGCCATGCAAACCTTCAAACAATTATACATTTAATCACATGTTTAACACACTAAATATTTTCTTGTTTGTTTTTTTAGGAGATGTCTAAGATTTTATCGCATCCTAGGGTTTACTCATTTTTGCACGTGCCTGTACAGTCAGGGTCAGATTGTGTTTTGGCAGACATGAAGCGAGAGTATAATGTGGATGACTTTAGACATGTAGTTGATTTTTTGAAAGCAAGGTACTGTACATTGTTATTTGTTGACTCCAAAAGTATTAGAATTATCAAAACTTTTAAATCGTGAATTGACATTCCTAATGATGTGACATAGTAAGAAAGTATAATACATACTCCAAGTATTGAAATACACGCCATCGTGTTGGGATTCAATATTTCGACATTAATTATGTCATCATCAGGAATTCCTGATGATGACATAATTAATGTCGAAATATTGAATCCCAACATGATGGTGTGTATTTCAATACTTGGAGTATGTATTATACTTTCTTATCTGAGATTAATCCGTGGACCTTTCGTGACATAGTAATTTACTGTAAAATTAGCCAAAATAATTTGTTACATATGTTTCTTATTGTAAATTATGCTGTTCTTGGATTTTGTTATGGTTTTTGCACTTGTTTCACCTCAAACATTAACTCTGGCCACTTTATCAGCTCTGACATTATGTTTTTAACTAATACTATTGCTAAAGGTCACTCACCTCCACAATAACACATACTATTATATTTTGTTTGTTTCAATAGAGTACCAGGTGTTACAATTGCCACTGATGTTATATGTGGATTTCCAACTGAAACAGTAGAGGTAATACATACAAGAGTATTTTTTTATACACATGTGCATAGTCTGGGAGGTCCAGATGAACAAACCCTTCCCCCTTGGCAGAAAATGAGTTTCACTAAGTGAGTTAAAATGCAATAACTGACCATTAAGTTTTCGTTGGAATAGGGATTTATTTCTGCATTTTCAATTTTCACTATCTCTATTTCTGCATTCTGAAATTTCTTACCCCACTCTTCCCAGGATGAAACCAACCTACACCTCTGATACAGATATTGATCAAAGTCTGAGCAAGGATTGTCTGCAACCAGTGCCAATGTCAAGGCCTGTAGTTAGCTCACTCTGTATAATGTCATTGGTAAATTCTTTCGCAGGATTTCAAGGACACGCTAAAGCTGATTGACGATTACAAGTTTCCAAGTGTGTTCATTAACCAGTTCTTTCCTAGGCCTGCCACACCTGCTGCAAAGATGCATCAAGTTCCTGCAGATGAGGTGCGTAATACCTATCATAGGTAACCTTTGACATTGTGCATGCATTTTGGATCAAATAAATAAAATGAAAGTCAATGCCTATAAGAATATTGCAAACACTGATGGTCACAAATTGACACACCAGTGCGAGGCACTGATGGTCACAGATTGACACACCAGTGCGAGGCACTGATGGTCACAGATTGACACACCAGTGCGAGGCACTGATGGTCACAGATTGACACACCAGTGCGAGGCACTGATGGTCACAGATTGACACACCAGTGCGAGGAGGTGATTGTAATTAACAGGTTATAGTGCCTACAAAATGTTGGCACATCTTTCAGAAACTTTGTATTAATAACATCAATCATTATATTTATCTCCTGTTTTAATAATGTTCAGAAAAAGAGAAGAACGAAGGAATTGTCAACTTTGTTCAAGAGTTATGAAACCTACAGTCACAAGATAGGAGAAAGGCAACAAGTTCTTGTTACAGAGGAATCACATGATAAAAAGTATTATGTGGGCCATAATAAGTTCTATGAACAGGTGAAATATTCTCTATTATTGCTGTGTTACTACTGTATTAACATTATTATTGTTATGAAATATATTATTTAATTTTGATTATTTATATTCAAATATAGTATAATAAGTATTATTATTGTCATTAAATATTATAAATATTGTATTATTTTAATTATTATTGTTAATATATCATTATTATATTAGATGGTTAAATAATTTCATCTGGTTCTGATTTCTGTATTTAAAATATAGATTTTTCTACATGAACCTTTTTGATGCTACATGTGAAATACTTCTTAAAAAATACAACAGGTTTACGTAGGAATAAAATCCACAAATCTTTGAAATACTGTACACCACATATCAAATGGAGGCCATTCACTACAAAAGTTGTATTTGCTCTTCCATCTGTAATGTAGGTACTGGTACCAAAGGAGGAGAGGCTACTGGGAAAGATGATAGAGGTAGAAATTGCTTCAACAGGAAAGCATTTCCAAATGGGTAAACTAATTGACAACAGTAGATTGGTAACACCATCCATTGTTGAGCCCCTTCAAAAAGGTCAAATTTCTGGGGTAAGTTATCGTAGTCGTAGAGTAGAGTATCGTAGAGTTTTGTCATTGATCAGTAATGGCTCTAGATATTTTCTGACAGGGGGTCTAACAAGCCGACAGGAACACAAAACTAAAGAGCTGCCTAGGGCCTCCTGGTCTAGGAGTTTAACTCATGGGAGAGATTTTAATGGTTTATTAGGGTAAAATTTGTGCTTTTAAAACATATTATTAGGCCACAGTCACAGTATATTTGGTTGGGTCGGCAAATTGATTGTGTGTGTTTGTTGACCTCAAGAGGTGCATGACGACAGGCAGCTTATGCTTGTTTGGCGATTTCCCCCTGAACCCACTGATGACATCACTGTCTTGAATATATACAACTTTGCTTTATGAAATATTATCTTTATATAATATAAGATATATTATATGTTGTATCATGATATATGAATAGAAATACATTTTACACCATGCCAGTGGTGTATCTAGGGGGTGCGGGAGGCACCCCACTCCAAAAAAAAAATACTCACTCTTCCCCCTCAAACAAATCATGTTCATGTGGTTAAAAATCACTCTATTTGTGAGCTAATGCCCTCAACTAATCATCAGCCCCTCCCCATCCAAGACTCTTATATATGTCACTTCACCACACTCAATCTGAATCACACTCAATCTTTATATTAATAATCTTGTTTTTGCCAGGTTAGTGCAATGTCGTCATTACAAGCTACATCTTCTAAAACACCACGTTGGCTACGAATAGCACTTGTTGTTGCTTTGCTGGCAGCCTTCTTAGACATCATTAAAATTTCATATCAGTATGTGTTGAATACTTCATGAGGAAACGATATTCTTGATTGAGTAAAGTTTTCTTCGACCAATCTGTATGTAAATGCCTGAGGACAGAATGTTGACTAAAAAATGGGACAACATAACTACGCCACACCATTTTTGGAATGATACACTACATACAGTACACAGAAGAATGTTAATGCTAATAGTACGAGAGATGTAGTTCAGATGCTCTTTCCTGGTGAAGTAAAATTGGCATATAACATTCAATACACTTTGAGACAAGCACCATAACAATTTAATCAAAGCAACAACAAATGAAAAGAAGTTTTCTGCAGATTAAAAAAATGTTGAGATTGGCCAGTTGTTGTGTTTAATTTGCAATCCCGAAAGCTCCATTGACTTACAGAATGGAGTTTTCTGATGTTCTATACTGTATGATACTAGGGAGTGGAGTGTTTAACACTGTGCAGTATATTATGAGTATTATTAATTCATTTATTTAAACTGAAGTACTAAATTCATTAGCTTGAAAGAGGAGATGTTTTTAGTCCTGAAAAATAGAACATGGCTTTTGAAAGGATTTGAACCCAGGATCCATGGATTTGAAGCTGTGCACTGTGACTGCAAAGTCACACCTCAGCTGCAATGCACTCTTGATTATTGTCGTATGCAACATTTTTGGTACAGTATTGTTAAATGAAATAGACTGGTGTCCCAGTTAGTCCATCATACACTAGTTTATTAGCACTGTATGGGGAAGATATTTGACATTTCCAGACTGTCAATCAATCGTATCAACTGACGGATCAACAAATGCCCAGGAAAACACACTTGCCCCACAAACGCACATGTTTTGTTGGACTTAGCAGGGGCGGATCCAGAAGTTTTGGTTGGGGGGGCTATAGGTATATGTGTAAAGTGCCTCCAAGTGCCTGCGGAGGTTAGGTTTGGGAGGAGGTGTCTCCGTCCGATAAGATGGGGTTCAGAGGGGTAGCTGAACGCTTTAGCTATTAGATGT